GGTCCCCCCTCCGCCGGAGATGCCAGGACGCTCCCAGGACCCTCTAAAATGGCTCCAGGACGCCCTCAGGACAGCCCAAGAGAGGTCCGAAGCGGCCCGGGAGCACTCCAAGACGGTTAAAAAGCTGCCAAAGCGTCCCAGCAGGTCTCCGACAGCACTCTCGGGAGGGGCCCAATAGGAAATTGTCACTGATTTTTTCAATGGGTTTTGAAGGGTTTTGGCGTTCTCCCCAGTTCGGCTTCCAGACGCTCCAAGGCGGCCCAAGAGGCCCGAAAGATCGCCTCAAGACGAGCCCAGAGGCCCCCAAGAGACCACCGAGATAGCCCAAGAGGGCCCCAAGACGGCCCGGGAAGCTTCCAAGACGGCCCAAAAGAGCTTCCAGAACACTCCAAGAGAAGCCCCAGATGGGGAACACGAACTGACATTTCGAGCCCTCGCCCACCAGAAGCTCCCAAGAGGCCCCCAGGAGTCCGCAAGAGGCCTCGAGAAGCCCCCAGGAAGCTCCAAGAGGCCTCCAAATGGCGCCGAAAGGGCCCCGCAAGGCTTCCAGACGCTGGTGATAATGACAATGTTGATTATGCAGGGCGGCCTCAGGCCCACAACCTAAATCCCCAATACTGCTCACGCGGCATGCAAGACGCTGCGGAGATATCCTCGAGTTCGGCGGGGGAGCTTCGGAGACGACGGTGACGAACATGATGACGATGATGACGGCTATTATGAAGTTGACGACGACGACGACGACGACGACGACGACGACGACGACGACGACGACGACGACGACGACGACGACGACGATGATGATGATGATGATGATGATGATGATGATGATGATGATGATGATGATGATGATGAGGAAGAATATTATGATGATGTTGACAGTGGGAATGATGATGATACTACTGATGATGATGATGATGATGATGTTGATGATGGTGATCGTGATGTGAGTGATGGTGATGATGATGGTGGTGATGCTGACGATCATGATGACGATGACGGTGATGCCGTTGAGGATGGTGATGCTGACGATCATTATGATGATGCTGCTGATGGCCAGGATGATAACGCCGATGCTGATAATAATGGTGGCGATGCTGTTTATGGTGCTTGTGATGCAGGAGTGGGTGGATGATGAAGATGATGACGATGATGATGAAGATAACGATGACGACCACGACGACGACGACGACGATAATGATGACGATGGCGATGATGAGGATGATTATGTTGATATTTCTTTACGCTTCGCGTATCCCCACCAGCCCATCTCACAGCAGCAACTCTCGCGAAGCATGCCGACAGTCGTGTTTTTCAGGCGTGTGTCCGCTTGGCCCCGCATATCTCCCCTGTTCCTCCTTCCTCCCGCCTCCTTGTACATCCTCCTTGTGGGGGGAGCGGGAGAAGGACGAGGCGGAGGAGGAGGGAGAGAAAGCGCTCCTCGTGATTTGAGTCGTTTGGGGTTTCTCGTCCTGGTGTGAGTCGTTCGGGCCCTTCTTCCTGGTGTGAGTCGTTCGGGCTCTTCGTGGTGTGAGTCGTTCGGGCTCTTCGTCCTGGTGTGAGTCGTTCGGGCTTCTCGTGGTGTGAGTTGTTCGGGCCCCTCGTCCTGGTGTGAGTCGTTCGGGCCCCTCCTCCTGGTGTGACTCGTTCGGGCTCCTCGTGGTGTGAGTCGTTCGGGGCCCTCGTCGTGGTGTGAGTCGTTCGGGCTCCTCGTGGTGTGAGTCGTTCGGGCGCCTCGTCCTGGTGTGAGTCGTTCGGGCCCCTCCTTCTGGTGTGAGTCGTTCGGGCTCTTCGTGGTGTGAGTCGTTCGGGCTCTTCGTCCTGGTGTGAGTCGTTCGGGCTTCTCGTGGTGTGAGTTGCTCGGGCCCCTCATCCTGGTGTCAGTCGTTCGGGCCCCTCCTCCTGGTGTGACTCGTTCGGGCCCGCGTCGTGGTGTGAGTCGTTCGGGCTCCTCGTGGTGTGAGTCGTTCGGGCGCCTCGTCCTGGTGTGAGTCGTTCGGGCCCCTCCTTGTGGTGTGAGTCGTTCGGGCTCTGCGTGGTGTGAGTCGTTCGGGCCCCTCGTCCTGGTGTGAGTCGTTCGGGCTCCTCGTGGGGCCTCTTAAGGGCCTCTTGGAGCCTCTTGGGGCCTCTTGGGGGCCTCTTGGGGGCCTCTTGGGGGCCTCTTGGGAGCCTCTTGGGGGCCTCTTGGGGGCGTCTTGGGGGCCTCTTGGAGCCTCTTGGGGCCTCTTGGGGGCCTCTTGGGGGCCTCTTGGGGACCTCTTGGGGCCTCTTGGGGGCCTCTTGGAGGCCTCTTGGGGCCATCATGGTGCCTCTTGCGACCTCCTCAGAAGCGCAAATGAGCGCTGCCCCCTGAGAAGGACACAATGAGCCCAAAACCTTCGTAAAATCAATGATTTTGCTATGAAGGAAGAGGGGCGCGGCCCCCTCAGAAGGCCAAAATGGGGCCAAAACCTTAGTAAATTCAATGTTTTTTGCTTCAAAGACGAGCTGAGGCGCCAAACTCCCCCCCCCCCCTCGGGGCCAGAATCCTAGTGAGGGTCGTCGTTTTTTGGCCCTCCCAGGAGTCGAAAAAGACACCCCTGACTACGCTCGGGGCTCCCTCTCCAGGTCCAGGGGGAGGGGGTAGGGGGAGGGGTAAACCCCTCCCCGAAGGGGAAGAAAAGGGGTTGAGGACAGAGAGAGCTCGCTAAACCACTCACGCCCAAAGGGCTGGTGGGATTCAGGTGACGATATTGACGATGATGACGACGATGGCGATGATGACGATGGTGATGACGATGTTGCTGCTGATGGTGGTGATGGTGACGATTGTGATGATGGTGATGGTCATGGTGATGATGACGATGCCGCTGGCGATGACGCCGGATATGATGGTGATGAGGATGGCGATGATGACGATGACGATTATGCTAGCTAGAACTTGAGCGCGCGCGAAGCGCGCGCGATGGTTCTAGTATATATAGATATATCGGTACTTGTGTGTGTATATACATACATATATATATATATATATATATATATATATATATATTTGTATTTGTACATATATATATATATGTGTATATGCATATATGCATGTATCTGTATTTGTGTATGCATGTATACATATATATGTTTATGTATATGTATACGTGTATGAACTGGTGTATATGTATATGTGTATATATATGATTAGGTATATGTAGATGTATGTGTCTATGTGTACGTATTGGTATGTGTATATATATGCATATTCACGCACATATATAAACGTTTATTTGCATGTATATTTCCATGTGCACGTATACGTATACGAATATGCGTATGTATATACACATGCGTAAACACATGCCTATGCACATTTATTTGTATGCGTATACGTGAATGTGTGTATGTATATGTATATACGTGTATTCACATTTGCACATGTGTATGTGCATGTGTACGTGCAGTGTATGTATGTGTATATGAATCTGCATCTGCATATGGATATCTGTACATCTATATATCTATATGTGCATGTATATGCGTATGCATATGTATCTATAAATGTACATGTATAAATGTACGTACATGTATGTACACGGGTATGTATATGCACATGCATGTGTAGATATTTATGTTTATCTATGGGTATATGTATATGTATATGTACATATGTCTATAGCGACGTGTATGTATATGTATATGTATAGGTATGGGTATATACATTTGTATATGTATATGTATATGCTTATGTATATGTATATGTATATGTATATGATCAGGGCTCTGTTTATGTGTAGATATATGTATATTTATATGCATATGTGTACGTATACGTATATGTATATGTATAGGTATATGTATATGTATATGCATATGCATACGTCTATGTATGCATATATATACATATGTATATGTATATGCATAGGTATGTGTATATTCATAGGTATATGTATATGTATTCGTATATGCATATGTATATGTATAGGTGCATGTATACGTATATTATGTGCATATGTATATGTATATGCATCGGCATATGTGTATGTATATGTATATGTATTGATATACGTATATGTACATGTATATGTATATATGTATATGTATGTAAGTATATATATATGTATTTATATGTGTATATGTAAATGTATATGTACATGCATATGTATATGCATTTGTATATGTATATGTATATGTGTATGTGTATGTGTATGTGTATGCATATGTATTTGTATATGTATAGTTATATGTTTATCTATGCGTATTTTTTATGTGCGCGTGCATGCATATGTATGTATGTATGTATGTATGTATGTATGTATGTATGTATGTATGTATGTATTATATACGTATAAAATACATACAGCTCTGTACGCAGTTTATTCAGAGTGGGAGGGGTTGGTTCCAAACGTTCTTTCGCTCTAGTCTCTGCGTTTCGCCCAACTTCGCTGGGCCGCGGCCGTCGTGGCCGCGGCCGCGTGGATCAGCCAGAGCGTGCTGCCATATCCTCAGGCGCTGCCGGCTGCTGTGCCCGAGCAGTTCGTTCGTGCGACGAAGAGCTGTGGGAGCTCCTGGCGGCGCGGGGCGAACTGGAGTGGTTCCGACTGTGCGCGGTCGGGCTGGCTGGGGCTTGCGTGCTGCTGGCCGTGGTCGCCGCGGCACTCGGCCTCGTCGCGGCTGGGTGCTGCTGCTCCGCAGCGGGGCGGGCGGCCTCGCGTCGGCGAGACGGCGCGCGCCCGCCGACCCAGGCGGCCCTGCCGAGCCCCGAGTTGCTGCCACAGATGGCCGCGCGAGAGGTGCGCAGGGCCTGATGGCGGCCGTCGGCGGGGGCGTCGAGCGCACGGCTGCCGTCGTGGAGCTCAAGTCATGGTGTGCGAGGACAGCCGCCTGACGCACACCTGGCACCGCGCGCTGCTGTTCCGGCGGCTGCCGGATGCCGTGAGGGTGGGCCGCGCGGCGGACGAGGTCATCGATAGCGTCGACCGAGCATCGCGTGGGTGGCTCTGGCGCCAGGCGGGCCCGTCGCGGCGGCTCAGGCCGGCGACCCGCGCATGGGGGACGCTGGCGTCGTCGGACGGTTCTCCGCGGTGCACGCGCAGGCCGCTCGGCTCGCAGCGGTGCCGAGAGGCTCGACGGCGGGGCCCGCGAGGGCAGGCTTGATGTCGAGCTGGCGTGTCGCGGACACGGCGCGGCAGATGGACGAGCATTGCGGTGCAGGCCCCGACATCGGTTCGGCCTCGGCTCGAGCTTCAAACTCGGCCGCGGGCATGCGCCAGCTGGGGGCGTCCTCGCGGCTTTCGGCCCGCAGCGCTGTCGAGGTCGTCCGCCCGGCCACGTGGTGGGCCCCGCGCCGTGGTCGAGCTGCCGAAGGACTTCGCGGGATGGGGCGCGCGGCCTCCGCGGACCCTGCTCGCAGGCGCGTGGCTTCGCGGCGCCCGTCGGGGGCGCGGTGGCTTGGGGGCGCAAGCTGCGCGGCCGCGCCCTTGAGCTCGCGGAGGGGCTCGACGGCCGGGGCCTCATCAGCGGCGCGTCGCTGGAGCTGGCTGCGCGCCTAGTGGAGCAGATCGAGCGGGCGATGCGGGCCCGTCCGAAGGCGCCATGCTTCGAGGGACTCCTTCGCATGATGGAACGCGTTCAGGGCGAACGTGGTCGAGCGCAGACACGGGAGTTCACGGCGCGCGCACCGTGGCAGGCGGTAGTGAAGGTTCGGGTGATCGAGCAGAACTGGTTGCGTCGGGAGGAGCTCGAGGCGAAGCGGAAGGATCGCGACAAGAACAGGAAGGGCGACGAGGACGCCTGATGACCCGCATGATGTCAGGGCGCGGCCCCGCCGGCGCGTGGTCCCAGCGCCTGCCGGGTTCATCGCTTCGGGGCGTTCTACCCATGCCGTGCTGTTTGCCACCAGGGGTGCCTTCGCTGCGACGGCGGCCGATCTCGAGATTGGGGCAGGGTGCGAACCTGCTGGGGCAGTTCCTCAGCGACTATGGTGTGGCGCCCTCCGCCCTGTCTCGGGCGCATCCTCGGCGTCCTCTTCTTCGTGGGCTTCGGGGCAGTGAACTCGAATTTCGGGCGTGCTCGTTTGGGCAGCGCTGGGCTTTGACGCGCGCCCGTGCGGCCCTCGCTCCCATGCTCCGGGTGCCGCCGCGGGAGACCGAGGCTGGCGCGATGTCCGACCTCCATCATTCTGATGGCCTGTATGCATTGACTGGGGGCGCCGCGCTGGGCGCCCATGACCTTCCTGGACTGCGAGTGGCCCGCGGGGATCTTCGCCCAAAACAGGTCGGCGACGCGGCGTCGGCCGAGGCGGCCGTCTTCATTCGGGGCCCCGCGACCCACGTCTTCGAGTTCGACGCGGAGCTGGCTGCCGACGTCGACGCGGTTGTCCTGCGGGGCAAGCCGCACTGGTTCCCGTGCTCAAGGGGGCATGTCGGGACATGTTCGAGTGTCCGATGGCGCTGCACTCGGGCGGCCTGCTCGCCTGGCGACGCCGGGCCCGCCGCCGCGTCGGGTGCTTCTTCGTCAAGAAGAAGGATGGCATGCTGCGCTTGCTCGACGCCCGCTGGACCAACCGATTGTGCCGCAAGGCGCCTCTGCCTCGGCTTTCGGCCCCCAGCGCGCTTGTGCGACTGGCGACCTCCAGAGGGGCGCTGGCGTTGGAGGAGGCCGAGCTCCGTGCTGCTGGTGTCGCCGCTTCTCCCGTGGAGGCCGGGGCCGACGTCGAGCTGTGCGGTTTCAGCGTCGACCTCGCCGACGGCTCCTGCCAGTTCGAGAGCGAGCGGATAGCGAGCTACTTTGGCTTGGACTTCTTCGCCTCGGTTGCGGAGATCGAGGCTCTTCGGCATCTCGCTGGCGGAGGTGTTTGAGGAGCTCGACGACGGCCTCGGCCCGCTGCGCGCCGACGAGGTGCTCGACGAGTGCTTCCCGGGGATGGCCATGGGCTGGAGCTGGGCCCTATTCTTATGCAGTGAGAACATCAGCGACGTCATGCGGGAGGCCCTGGCTCACCGCGTGCTACTGACCACCGGGGTCGGCAACCGCCGATCGTTCGCCGCGCTCCACCCGCGGGCGCCCGCCACGTCCCGTTACGTCGACAACGTTAACGTGTTTGCGCTGGGAGCCGAGAGCGGTCGGGACGTGTTCAGAACCGTGGTGGATGGCCTCATGGCCCGGGGGTTGGTGCTCCGTGATCACGTCGACGCGTCCGGGAGCTTTGAGTTCTTGGGCATGGTGCTGGATGGGCATTCCCGTCGGCTGCGTCGTGCGGCGCGACGGTCCTCGAGGCTGTGGCTCGCCCTCGGTCTCGTCCTGCGGCTTCGGCGGCGTTCAGGTGACGGGCTCCGGGTTCTTCTTGGTCACCTGTTCCATCGCTTCGGGCTGAAGCCGGCGTGCCTCAGCTGCTTGGAGTGTGTGTACCGCCTCGCCTTCGACCACCTCGGCCAGGTCGCGCCCCTCCCACCCGTGGGGCGAGCTGCGGAACTGCCGTGCGCTCGATCTATTCGTGGACCTTGACCTCGTGCGGGGCTTCTACCATCGCATCTTCTGCGCGGACTCGTCTGGCGGTGGCCGCGGTGGCTTTGCCCTGCTTAATTCGCCGGCGAGTGCAGTGGAGGTGGCCAGTCTCAGCCGCTGGAAGGAGCGCTGGCGCTTTCGCGAGGTGCTTCGCTCGGGGGGCGGAGTGGTCGACCGGCCGCCTGGCGTGCCAGCGCTGCCGGGCCCAGGGCCGGCCGCGGCCTGGGCGGGCGAGATGGCGTGATTCTCAAGGGGAAGGTTACCATTCCCATCGACGGCAGGAACCGCAGCGCGTGGATCACAGAGCTTGCGGGGCGATATCCCCCGGCTCTCTGCGGAGCCATCGCTCAATGCTCCTGTCGGTCGGCGCCTGCCCTCGCATGCCTCGGCGATGGCGCTCCTGCCCGGCGCTGGACCGCTGTGGAGGCCGCCGTCGCGGCTAGACAACCGCTCCCGAGGCTTCGTCCGCCTCGATGCCCGGCCAGAGTGGTCTTTGGCTGGGGGCATGCCGTCGGCTTTTGGGATGTCTGCTGCCCTGCCCACTGGGCCGAGCTCGGGCCAGGCTGCCTCAGCCCCAACTTCGAAGCCAGCCGGGCGGCAGCCTGGCGCCCCGTCGCCCGCGGCGGATCCGACGACGAAGGCGGCGCGAGGCATGTCCGCCGCAGCGCTCAGCCTGATGCGCCCGACTGCAAAGCGGACGTCCAGGCCAGCAGCGGCGGCGCTCGAGGTGGGCAGTTCGACCATCGTGGCGGCCGACAGCCCGGCGCCCAGCGGCGGCGGTGCTGCCCGCGGCCAAGGTGGCGGCCCGCGTGGCGCGGCGGCAGGCCCAGGCGGCGGTCGTCCCGAGCGTGGCCATCTCGGGCCCCGCGCAGGTCGAGGCTCGCTCCGCGCCAAACGGGACCCGGGGGCGCTGCGGCCCGGCCTGTGCGACGTTCGAGCTGCGCATCCCACGAACCGGCCACCCGCCGACAGTGCCGGGCGACCAGATCGCCGCCGCCATCATCACCCTCGACCTCCTCAGCCAGCTAGAGACAGCCGCCATCGCGGCAATGGCCTGCGTGGTGCAGCGCGGCGCATTCCGGTGCCCTTGCGAGGCGCTGGCGCTCATGAGTGACGACGTCGTGCTCCCGTCCACAACGGGCTATAAAGAGACATTCGGCATCGTGGCCCGGCAGGCGCAGATGGACCAGGCGCCGGCGCGCCTGGCCAAGTCGGGCAAGTTCGACGACGCCGTCGACGCGGGCCTCGCCGGCCTCAAGCTCGGATTCGTCGCAGTTCCGCTGCAGGGGCGGCGACGCCAGGCTGCCTGGACAGACGTCGTCTTCTCGTCACTCGCGTCGGCCCGCTACGACAAGGATGTGAAAGCAGCCGTGACCAGGTTCCGCCTCGACGGGTTCGGGATCTCCACCCCGCCCTGCCCGCCGCAGTGGGGCGTCCGCGGCCGCCCGCCAGAACCTGCTCGCGCTTGCGAGGATCCAGGAGAGGCGCAGGTACTTGACGCCTACATCAGCGGCCCACCACGAGAAGACAGAACCATCGCCTCGCCAGATCGCTCCGAGGGGACCCCGTGATGTGGCGCGAGGTCCAGCCAACCTGTGGTGTGTAAGAATAGGCCACGTTTTCCATTCTCGCAGGTCAGCCCAGCTTGATGCGCAGCATCTTGTGCGGCGCGCCGCAACCTGCCTGTGATGTTGATTTCGCGTGCCTCTGCCCGCTGTCACCTGTGCGTATTGTGTGTTGGTTTGCAATGTTTGTCCCAGCCCGCCCGCTCTTCGACAAGACCAATGGGTCGGCAGTTTGGCTGCGTGATTGTGGTCTCTCACGATATCTTGAGTCGACCTTTTGTGCGGCTGTATCCAGATGCGATCCAGGTTCATTGTGCATCCTCGGCAGGCGTGCCGAGCCGTGAGTCACAAACTATATGCCTCTGTGGACCTCTCCCGCCTTGGTGTCACGATGTCTTGAGTTGACCTGTGCGTCTGTATCCCGATGCGAGTCAAACTCATTGTGAATCCTCGGCAGGTGTGCCGACCCGTGAGTCACAAACTATATGCTTCTGTTGACCTCTCCCGCCTTGGTGATTGTCGCCCTTGTTCTTTTGTGGCTGTGCGCCAGCACCAGTCATGGCCCTGCTGGCAGACATATGAATCAATATCAATATATATATATATATACATATGTTTTATATATATATATGTGTGTATAGACATCTGTCTGTCTGTCTGTATGTATGTACGTATGTATGTATGTCTGTATGTATGTGTGTATGTATGTATATAAGTAAGTAAGTCTGTATGTATGTATGTATGTATGTGTATGTATGTATTTTCGTATGTATGTATGTATGTATGTATGTATGTATGTATGTATGTATGTATGTATGTATGTGTATTTATATATATATATATATATATATATATATATATATATCTATTTGCGCATACATATGTTCTTCACGCTTCGCGTGCACACCACCAGCCCATCCAGCAACGATGTCCATACGAGTTGCCGTGATGAGGGAAGTGGGGGAGCATGCAGAGGAACAGAGGGCCGGGAAAACCGTCATACCCCAAGAGGAGGAGGATGGAGGAGGAATCGGAGGAGGATGGGGAGGAGGGGGATGATGATGATGATGATGATGATGATGATGATGATGATGACGATGATTGCGATGATGATGATGATGCTGCTGTTGCTGCTCATGATGATCATAATGATGATGATGCTGATGCTGATGCTGATGATGATGATTACGATGATTGCGATGATGATGATGCTGCTGTTGCTGCTCATGATGATGATGATGATGCTGATGCTGATGCTGATGATGATGATGATGATGGTGGTGGTGGTGATGATGATGATGATGCTGCTGCTGCTGATTATGATGATGATGATGATGATGATGATGATGATGATGATGGTGGTGGTGGTGGTGGTGGTGGTGATGATGATGATGATGATGATGCTGCTGATGATGATGATGACGATGCTGCTGATGATGATGATGATGATGATGA